CAGAGGTGGGGGAAGCTATTCAGGGACTTTGAAATGTGACCGTAAGTCAAGAATAGCTTTTCTGGGGCTGGTGAGATGGTTCAGTGGTCTAAAGCACCTACTTAGAACAAGCTTAGCAAAGCAGAGGGACCGCGGTTCAATCCCCCAGCACCACATGCCAGCCAGCCCTGCCCCCTGGTGGGCTGAGCTGGCCACACACACACACAAAAATAAATAAATAAATAAATAAATAAATAAAATTAAAAAAAAAAAAAAAATAGTGGCCCGGGGTGAGGGATGGAGGCAAAGGGAAGGAGCTGGTGGTGAATGTCCACTCTAGTGCCACAACATGCCACCACTGGGTAACAGGATACGTGGGATCATTCTATTATTTCTCAAAAGTGCCTGTGTGCCTATGGAAAAAAAAAATTCAAAAGAAAATGCCTAATTTTTAAAAGTACCTCTGTCTAAAACTGAGCTCAAATTTAATGCCATCTATCTTCCACCCCTAAATTTCTCTTGCTGTAATCTATAATGAAAACAAGACATCCAAGCCTCCCAAGCGCAGCCCCTGGGAAACCCTATGATTCTTCCCTCACCCCTCTGCTCCTCCTCCCATCTCCAGACCTTTGGTAACTGTAGCCTATTCTGCCTCCCAAATGTCTCCAATACACTCCCCACTTACCCTCTGCTGTCCCCAGGCCAGTTCTCCCAGCTGGCATTCCAGCGCCCCCACCCCATTTATTCCTGCAGCAACCAGTATGAACTTTATAAAACATACATCAGATCCTGCAGCTCCCCTGCTGAAAACCTTTTTTTAGCTTCCCACTGATCCCAAGATAAAGTTCGGAAGCTTCCTCAAACTGATGGAGGTGTCATCTTTAGCTGCTCCCCCACACTGACACCATGCATCATGGAAAACCAGAGCTTGGCAAATGCAGTTCCCAGGGTCTAGGTCCTGTGGATGCCCCTCTCCCCAGGATCTCTGCAGAGCCACTACCCTCACCCTGCCGGCATCACAATGTTCTAGGGACTGGCTTCCATTTCTGCATTTATGTTTTGGTCCTAGGGACTGAATCAAGAACCTGCTGATTTCTCTTTTAATTTCATTATTCAAGACATGAACCCTTTTTTTTTTCTTTTGAGACAGGGATTCAGGCTGGCCTTCGACTTAAAATGATACTCCTGCCTCCTCAGCCTCCCAGTGCTGGGATTACAGACAAGTGCCACTACATCAGCTACATCACATTTTTTTTTTTTTTTTTTTTAGTTGTTCTCTTTTTTTTTTATTTTTTTTTTTTTTTTTTTTGGAAATAAACATTTAAACAGTAGAAGCCCACTATCCTCGTGCAGGGAGCTGCTCACTGACTCTGACCCTCCACAGTATACCAAGTGTGGTTATCTTCTTTTGATGTTTATCTTTGCTGGGGTGGGGTGGGGGGGACTAGAGCTCAAGGAAAATGGTAAGAGAGGGTTACCATTTCACGGTGAGACTTCCGATCCTCCAAGTAAAGCTAAGTGGCTGAGATCTCCAAAGGAGCTGCAAGACTCAAAGCATCAACCTCAGCCGATGTAGAGGCGTATGCCAGTAACCCCAGCACTCTAGGAAAGCTGAGGCAAGAGGATCAATCACAAATTCCAGTCGACTTGGTAATGTAGTGAGACCTTGTCTCAAAGTTTTAAGAAAGGGGTTAGGGAGATAGCTCTGTAGCTTAAGCGCCTGCCTGGCAAGCGCAAGGTCCTGCGTTCAATCAATCCCTGGCACAAAAATAAAATGAGTTCAGTGTGACAGCCCTTGTTTCAATCCCCAGCTCAGGGAAAGGGATTGGGCGAGGGGATCTGCAACCCCCTACAGTCCAGTCCACTCCCCACTTGAACTCTGGCCACATACTCAATTTGCCCCACAGTCTAGTCTGTTATGGCCCTAGGTTACTTAAGGCTGCTCTTTAACTCCGATGCACAGCAGGTGCCTAAGGAGGCTCTCAGGGTTTGCTGTCTCCACAAACCTACACGTCCAGCCAGCCACCCTCCATTCGGAGACCATGCAGATCACAGGAGAGTTGGTTTGGACCTGTGTTTGCTAGTCTGGATCTAAGAGCACCACGTCTCTGCGGGACACACGCCAGCAGGCAGTTCCCTCGGTCTCCGTCTGTAAAACTCTGCACCTGGCATGATGCAACGAGCAGGCGACCAGTCTTGCTGGTCGGGCCGGCACACAGATGGCGTCTCCTTTCTGAGTCTGCACCCAACACGTGGCATGCAGTTCGCTAAAGAGAAGTTCTTCGTGGCCTGAGAGCCTGGCTCTGTAGCTCTGGTCGTCAGGGCGCTGTGCTGTCCCCGCACAGTCGACCCCTCCGCGCCCCCACATCCCGCGGAGCCTCGGGGTGGCCCAGAGTTCCCTCGCGAAAACCCTCCGAGTCTGCAGCTGTTCCGGTCCCGCGGTCCCCTCCCCGCTGGACAGCTCTCCCCGGCTGTTCCGGCCTCGATGTCCCCTCCTCGCCGCAGAGCGCCATCCCGGCCGCTGTTCCGGTCCCAATGCCCCCGCCCCGCCTCCCCTGCCAAGGCTGTTTCCTCCCGTGCCCCTCCCGCCTGGCGGCTGTTCCGGCCCCAGCGCCCTCCGCCCGGCGGCCGCCGCGCGCCCTGGGACCGGCGCTGCTAGGGCGCGGCGGGAGGGGGCGCGCCGCGGAACAGCCGCTTCCCCTGCCCCGCCGCTGCTCACCCTCCAGGGCCTCGAAGATTGCCTGCGCCATCTTGGAACCGCCGCCGCCGCTGCCTCGGGAGGCAAGCGGGGCTACGCGAGCATTGTGGGAGCCGCGGCGGCGGCGGCGGCGGCGGCAGCGGCGGCGGCGGAGGAGGAGTCGGGGCCGCTAGGGGGCGCCCGGGAGCTGCCGCCGAGCCCCACCCTCCCGCAAACCCGGCCGCGTCACGGGGACACCCACATCCCCCGGCGTGGAACCTCGCCCCCACCTTACTTGAACCTTCAACTCTACACAGACCCAAACTCGCCGCACGCACGGGACTACCCCCTGCTCCTATTATCTGCACCACCACACCGCCTCCAGACTTGACGCAAGCCTTCCCCACTATCACTGCACCCGAGACCCCAGCTTTGCAGCATCAGCCCCCGCTTCCCGCCACCCGGACCACTCAACAGTGTCAGCAGTCTCCCCTCCTCCCACTATGCAACACAGGTTTTCCACTGGTCAGTAACCTCCCATTCTCCCCGTCCACGATAGCTTTCACCTTTGCCTGTTGGAAGCCACCATCTCTCCTTGCCTGACACTCATCTCTGCCCGGTTTTAATAACCTCTGTTTATCACACCCTATTTCCACCTTTTGGGACTTCGCTTTCCCATCCCTTCCTCTCCACAACCCCATGCTCTCACATAAACCCAAACCCACTTAAGCTGCGCCCAGATGAGACTCATAGGGGCCCCATTCAGGGCATGGGGACTCTGCCACCCAACCACATTCCCACGCCCTTCTCTCATCTTCATTGTACGGTAGCGCTTCCCATGGAGTACGGAGTGTGGGAAGAAGACATTCAATCTTTAACAAGTTTTTAGTGGCACATGCCTGTAATCCCAGCACTTGGGAAGCTAAGGCAGGAGGATTGTTCTAGCCCAGCCTGGGCTGCAAAGTAGCTCAAGGTCAGGTCTTGCATAGCAAGACCTTGTTTCGGAAATGCTGTGCCCACCCTCAGCAGGACAGCAGAAGCTTGACTTCTTGGCTGCCTCTGAGCAGCTTGCCCTGACCTGAATGGAACAGAACCCTCCCTTGCCATTCCAGGTTCTCACAGGACCTGGTACCTCCCCTGCCCTGTGACAGTCTCCTGCCATCAGCTTTCTCTTTCTCCACCCCTTCGGAGCCGGGGTTACCATATCTGTCCGGGTTGGACCTCAAGGCTTGGGCACAGAGGCACACTTGGAAATGCTTCGCTAACAGCTTGACAGGTGGACTTTACTGTCATCTCATCCTCCACCAAGATCGTACCAGTCCCATGTCCCACTCCCTCAGGGCCACCTTGTTGGCACTGAACAGCTACACATTTCTAAGGTTAAGCAATACAGTCGCTCCAGGCATGGAGCCAAGTAGGGAATAGGTAAAGTTTGAGGAATTTCTTGGCGCCTGACTCCACAATGGGTGTTCCAGCTACCCCAGAGAAGTTAACGAGAGAGAGAGAGAGAGAGAGAGAGAGAGAGAGAGAGAGAGAGGAAGAAGAAGAAGAAGAAGAAGAAGAAGAAGAAGAAGAAGAAGAAGAAGAAGAAGAAGAAGAAGAAGAAGAAGAAGAAGAAGAAGAAGAAGAAGAAGAAGAAGAAGAAGAAGAAGAAGAAGAAGAAGAAGAAGAAGAAGAAGAAGAGAAAGCTTTTATAAATGGGGAAGGGAGGAGGGATTGAAGGAATGGTAGGGGGATGGGGAAAAAAGCAAGTTGTATCATGTACAGGTACAAATTATAAATGTGATCATCTTGTTTATCTAAAATGTACCAATAGGGGCTGGTGAGATGGCTCAGTGGTCTAAAGCACCTACTTAGAACAAGCTAAGCTAAGCAAAACACAGGGACTGTGGTTCAATCCCCCAGCACCACATGCCAGCCAGCCCCGCCCCCTGGTGGGCTGAGCTGGCCACACAAAATGAATGAATGAATAAATAAATAAATAAATAAATAAAAATAAAAATAAATAAATAAATAAAATGTACCAATAAAATCTGATTGAAAAAATCAGATTCTACATGAGAAGAGAAACATGAAGACCTTAAGCCAGACTCTTAGTTATTTTGGATGGGTTTTGTTTGTTTGTCTGGGGTGTTTGTTTTGTTTGAGAAAGGCTCTCTCTATGTAGCCCAGTAGCCCCTCTGACCCCTGGGATTACAATCATGTACCATCATATCTGGTTAGACTCCTAGTTCAAGAGTAGAAAAGCAGTTGGGCATGGGAGAGCATGCCTGTAATCCCAGCACTCAAGAGGCTGAGGCAGAAGGATCATTATGAGTTTAAGACTAGCCTGGACTACAAAGTTTTCTCAAAGCCAGCCTGAATTGCATGGTGAGGACCTGTCTCAAAAAGACCTAAACAAACAAACAAACAAATAAATAAATAAAAGGGTGCTGGATTTCTGACTTTTTTTTTTATTGCTCCACCTCTTTATTGTTGAAATCACAAGCAATTCAAAGTAACTGTCAGTGAGGCTTCTGTTAAAAGATCTTCTAGGAGCTAGGGAGATGGGTTAGTGGAATAAGCGCTTCCCAGACAAGCGCAAGGGCCTGAGTTCAATACCCAGTTCCAATAAATAAATAAATAAATAAATAAATAAATAAATAAATAAATAAATAAATCTTCCAGAAGATTGCTTCAGTTTTATGATTAAACAATATTGCACTTTAAGATAACTTTCAGGAGGGCTGGTGAGATGGTTCAGTGGTCTAAAGCACCTACTTAGAACAAGCTTAGCAAATCACAGGGATGGCAGTTCGATACCCCAGCACCACATGCCAGCCAGCCCCGCCCCCTGGTGAGCTGAGCTGGTCACACACACAAATAAATAAAATTTTTTTTAAAAAAGATAACCTTCAGGAGTCTCTTCACAGAAGGCAAGTATTGTTTCATCTGTGCTTTTCTTAGACTAAATGCAGAAAACTACTTTAAGAATCAATATTTCAGAGTACAGTAATGTAATAAAGTACCTATTTTAGAATCTTAGAAAAAAAAAGAATCTTAGAGGTTACACTGTAAGAAAATCGCAGCCCCTACTGCAGTTTCTAACTGAATGACATTCAGGCCTCCATCCAGAGTCTTTGGATTTGCAATGATTGCCATGTCAATGGCATTCTCTTCCTGCAATCTTCTAACTGCTGCAAGAGAAATCCATAGGCTGTTTGTGTTAAATATTTTAAATTTTAATACAGACTTGAACTCATCAACGTGTGCTTTTGGCACTTGAGCGATTTCCACCAGTCTCAGTTTGCCTTCATATTGAGT